AAGAGTTCCACCCGCCATATTGTTTTGAGGGATGCATTCCAGTAGCCACTTCCTCTTAGGGAGTGACTTTTGTCTGTAGTGGCTTCCGGTGAGCGAGTCATTATTGTCTATCTCCTTCCTCTATTGCGTTCATCAAATAATGTGAGAAGTGTTATATATTCAGGAGCGCTTAGTCAAGTTTCAAAACATTGGGGTCGAATTTGAACGGTAATTTCCATATACATGTCGATTTTCTGGGTTGAGTAAGGGTTGGTGATGCTGTTATGTGTGTGCGATGCTGAGTCGTGGCTGTGGGTGGTGATGTATCCGAGGATTCTGGCGCAGGGTTGGAGGAATCTTGGGCTACTGGTTTATTTACTCGCTCCTGATAGTTGTCGGGAGTGAAGTGTTATCGGGGAGCAGCTTGTGTATTGTTCCTGAGTGTGGGTTCGAAGTTATTGATGAGTGGTGTTGGTGCTGACCTGAGTGGCCAGTCAGTTGTGGGCGTGTTGATTGTAGGAGCTGGATTGTTGGTGTTGCGTGGCTCAGTGGCTCGGAATGGAGTGAAACGCCTTAAAAATTTCCGATTTCATAGTGTTACCCTACCTAACCCATCGACTTTAATTATGTATTAGTCGTGTTGGCGGACCTCGATGACTGTACCAGTCTTGTCCCATTTTAGAGGCTCGGTACCTGCTTAATTTTGGATGCGCATCTGATCACCAACGTGGAGTTGTGGGCTCCGAGAGCCGTTCGGCACATCGTAGGTGCCGCTTTGACAGGACGATCTCGAGGTTTTCACGGGTTTCTGTCCAGGTGTAGTGGGGCGAGTATTTTCCTGGCACGATCGGGATGAAGTCCCTCACTGGACGTTCAAAGATGATCATTGTAGGGGAGAGTTTTGTGTCCTGGTCAGGGTAATTTCTATACTGGAGGATTGCTCGTTAGAACTTGTCGATTTGACCATCGTGTTGTTTGTAATCATGCGTTTGCATGTTTTATTTTACTCCTCTCTTAGCGCGACAGTTTGAATGGGGAAAGTCAACTGATGAGACTCTGTATGACACACCTCATCCCTTGAAAAATTCACGAATTGGGTTTGCAAGGTATTCTGGTCCACATGCTCGCTCGTCCGGTATCCCATAAGTGACAAAGGCCTCACGGAGACATCTTACTGGTCCATGTGCACCGCCAGATGCTTTATGTATTACCGACCAGTTAGAATATCGATCAACAATAATGAGGTATGATGATCCTTTGGAAGTAGTCAGAGTATATGTATTGGAATGGATATATGGTTTCCAGCGGTGGCGTCGGTGGTGCACTGGGTTGACTTGGAACCATCCTGTTGCAGTGTAGTGCATCGAGTATTTCCTGTCTGAGAGAGATCGAGATAAGTATTCTGTCCTTATACAGGACTACTCCATCGACAACTCACGGAATGAAAAGTATTGTTTGATTTGTTAGGGTAAGTCTTGTTTGTGATCTTGTGATCCATTTACAACGATTCCGAGTTTCCATCATCGGATTGCTTGAGGTGGCTTCGCGAACACGATCGTAGGTGACGGATTGGAGAGAACGTAGTGAGGTTGAGGTAGCTAGGGTGACAGTGTTATGTGTTTCCTGGAACAACGTGGTAACCTCGTCTGTCATGGGGTTACTCGTCAATGACGGATGGTGGGTGGTCGCCTCATCTGGGGTGGCATCGTGGTCATCGCAAGTAGTTGGGGTGTGGGTGTCGTCTGGCAAGTAGGTGCGTACCATGTGCCTTGAACCGGACGGGTGCCTGGATATTGCACCTGGTGCTCTGTCTTTTCGGCCTGATATATGGATTGTGAAATCTACGATGCAATCGTGTGAAATCTACGATGCAATCGTAAGGACAGGCGCTGGTGAACTTATATATGTCTGCTAGGCCGTGTAATCTGGCAGGGAAGTTCCTCGCCCCCTCATCTCTGTCCTGGTGCATATTCTGCTCCCGCACTTCTATGCGCCGTATTCCCGCTAAGATGACCGCATCCGTTCCTATGCCAATCTCACCATGACAACGATGGAGGTCTCTTCGGGGAGGGGGGATTCCTCACAACATTCCATTAATTGGTTGCTGGTGTCCCTGCCTATGATCGTCGTCGCTTGCCTTCACTTTTCCAAATGCTTAGGAAGTACTGTTAATCTTCGCTTGAGCTACCCCGTGAGATGCTGTGACGTTAGACCTTTTTCGGGTCGGGCGCCAGTCACCGGTCACCTTGGTTGTACTGTGTGTAATAGTGTGGATATTAAGAAGGGTTATTCTTTCGGAGGCGTCCGTTAATGTCTGCTGTGATGTAGTTGCAGTCAGCGATAGGACATGCTGTTCATGGCATGGCTGGGTGTTATTATGTGGACACGTTGACGAGGAGAAGATGACGAGTCTCGAGTGGTGGTTGGTACCCTATTGCGAGTTTACCGCTGATTTGGGGACAGAGGCATCCTGTAGGATTTTTATTTTGTGTGTGGAGAGATCATCGATGGATCTCAGATAAGACGGGTCACTTACTTTTTATTCATAAACTATTATGTCATCGTTTGGGTCAAATTATGGGGATAACGATGAATAAAAGAGTTCCACCTGCCATATTGTTTTGAGGAATGTATTCCAGGGACTTCCGGTGAGGGAGTCATTATTGTGTAGTTACCATACTTTTAATTTATTACTGTTTTGTCTGATATTCAGAATGTTATTATAGCGATTGCTATGTTTTTCACACCACTCCAAGTCATTTTATCCGCCTACTACCTTTGTATAGGACAATTTAGCCATCATGGTTGTTCCTTTGAATCTTTTGGTTCTGAGGATACTTACTTATTCTGTTTAGTACGTGTGTAGTGATTGGTTAATTTTTAACCAATCACATATTTCGATTTGTTAGTTTAAGAAAAATACGTTGAAAACAGATCGATATTTCATTTTTTTAATAATTTGTGCAAATTAGAGTTTCTTTTTAAAAATGTCAATAAATTTTCTTTTTTTTTTTGCTTTTGTAAAAAAAAATTATTAACGGTTATTTGCTGTTACTATCTGGTCATGTCATCCTCTGATTGGTTAGATTTGAAAGTTACTAGCTTTTTATTTTTTTTACTGCGCAGGTGTCCCTTGGGTGTTAGGGGAAATACACGCGTTTTTAGACAGAAAGGATTGGGACCTCGTGGTAACTGAGTGGCCAAGAAGATTCTCCGTCGTTGAACGACGTATATTTTTTATGTTGAATATTTTGAAATGGAAGAAATGTTTTGAAAACTAAGAACTTCTGAATTAAATACTATTTCATTATTTATACCAGTGAGTGGTAATAAGAAAGAATGTTTATATTCCGAATATATTTAGTCTGAGACTAAATAGAAATGTCGCTATTTATTTTGTAGCTTCACCATAGGAGAAAGAGACATATTTTATGATAAGTTGATTTGAAGAATATTTCACTCCTTGAGGTTGGCATATGTTGCTGACATCAATTCAAGATTTTAAACCCATCTATAGATGCCTGAATCTTCCCACAGGACAAAAGGTTACAGATATGTTTTTCCTTTCGAAATAACATTGAAAAATATCCTGCATCCAAATGAGAAGTAAAGACAAAAAAATGACTACCTCCGAGCTAGTGTAGTTGAAAATGAAGAATACACCAGAGAGAAGACAACACCATCAGTAAATTAGGCCAATCTCCACAGGGTTGCTGAATATTGCGGAGGGAATTAACTTCAGTAAAGAAGAAGTTTGAAGATTTTTTATTCTTCAGCTATCTGAAGAAAAAATTGAAAAGTGTGTATATTTTTCTTCTCAGAAAGAACTCTAATACGAACTTTATTCATTTTCTTTGTGAACTGTGAACTCTAAAGAAAAAATATAATACGCATATAAAAAAAAAACCGTTGCGTATTGATTGATTTTTTAGTTTTGGGTTGTTGTTTTTTAAAGTAAGTGAACATTTTTATAATTTTCTGTCCTGAAACATTCTTTTTTATCTTTTTATTTGTTATCTTTAAAAATTGGCTCATGGACTTGTATGGATTCTGCCATCCTTTATTTCTAATAAATTTTTGGAATTGTGAATATTTGTTCATTTTTGCCTCAGACATCATTCTTTTGTTTTTTCCTATGGTAACGAAATCTTTTTTTCCTCGAAACGTAAATCAGATGCAAACTCATCAATTTAAAATGTATAATTTAGAAACAGTGTCAAAACATTTATATGCCAAAAATATATATGATTTCAAAATTTAAAATATATTATTATGGATTACTTCTAATTGCATGCATGATTCCCAGTATAAATAGTTATAAATAATTATTGACCGATTTTATCACTGTGATATTTTTGCATTATATCAAATATTAAGAATATAGTAACTAGTGTCCGCAAATTGAAGGAGAGAGTTATCCATGATAATAATGTTCTGTCTTCGAATCCGCGATTATCTCCCTTTAACCCATTATCTGTTTTATTTTATTTTATTTTTAAATGTACTTTTTATCACATAAAATTTGATGGAGCGCGAGTAAATTTTCATTCCGAAAATGTGCCCCAAAGGAAAAAAGTTGGGAACCATTGACTTAGGAGGGAATGAGGTAATTTTTTTAAAAATATCTTTCTCGGCGTTTTCTTGTAGTGGGATTGTGCTTTTGTCAAATTTAGTTCGTTAGTTACTGGTTTAAGCCGTAAGCGCAAATAATAATATTTTTTAATTAATTAAATTTTAAATTAAATCAAGCGTTTTCCGAAAGTAGTTTCTCTCTACTCGTATCAAAAACTTGAGAAATTGGAAATTTATTAAATAAAAAGCTCTTCCAGCAATCTGAATGTTATTTTATCTTTAAAAGTGAAAATAAAATAAAACTGAATGTTTTTGCTTATTATATCAAATACGCAGAAAATCAAATTAATGATTAAATAAATAAAAAAAGCTCTTGTTTTTTTCCTTTTAATAATTTTTAGTTTCGCATAAAAATAAAATTAATCAACAGTTTTAGTTTCGTATCAAAAATGGCGAAATCGGTTGTTTGTATACCTGGTAAGTTTTTGTTTATTACAATGAAGTCTTTAATGTGTTACTATGTGAACTTTGAATAAAAGTTGATGTCATATACGACTTTATTTTAAAATTGGCGCCTTTCAGCAAATATTAATTTGAATATTTTACAATGAAATTGTGCTTTATTTGATCATCTATTTTTAATTACATCATTTCGGATAAATAACAAACACGTGTTATTTATCCGCAATCTTTAAACATTGAATTAAAAAAAGAAATGGAAACCTTGATATCAGTTTTTAATTCATTTATCAAAATTATATCCGTTTATTGCCCAACAAAAATAACACTCCCAATATTAAAACTAAAAGGTTTCTTTAAAAAGCTAATTTTAATCGCAAGGAAATATTTTAATCGTTTCTGTTTTTCTTTGTTAGTTTATGAAACTTAAAATAAAAAGATAAACGGGTTCTTTATCTTCTTTTTTATATATATGATTGTTTTCTTGTTGCATCTTAACATTCTTTTAATTATCCTATATCATGTAAGTAAGGAAACTCAAGCAAGATTAGCCGCTTAAACTTTAAGCCTTAAAGAATAAAAAAAGATCTTTTTACAAAGAAAACAGTTGTTTATTGCTTGCTTTGGCGGTTCGGAATTTTAAAATTTAACTTTTTCGTTTCAAATGGCTTCTGCATATCAAACACTAATTTAGCTTATTTACACTACTATCTTCTTTTTTTGTTAAATAACTTTATACTCGAGCCTCCCCCGCTTTTTTTAAAGATGCGAAAAGACTTGAATTCGAAGTTAATGTTGAAAGGTTTCTTTTTTTCTTAATGATAGAAAAAGGAGATTGGAAAGCAAAGAAGAATTCTTCCCATCAAAGGGAAAATAACTTTTATGGTCGCAAATTTCCTCCTCTACACTTAAAAAAAGAAAAACAAGTTTTTTAACCAAAATTTTGAACAAAAAAATATAAATTAATCAAAATTTTTGGTCTTTCCTTTTAATAAAAATTTTGACGATAAAACTTTGTTTTTGTTAAGTTTGTTGGGGCATCTTTTCATCATGGTATGATGCTAATTTTTTTTTTTTTTTTTAGCGAATCAGTGTTAGTACCGAGAGACTTAAGTTATTATCTTTCAAAGATTACTATAGGAAATTCTAGCGCTTTTTTTGCGATTTAAAACATTCTTACAAAAATAAAATAATTGTCGGATTTTAGTGAAATTTTCAAGAGTTATTCACACACAAAAATGAATTATTAAATTATTTTAGAAATGTGCTTTTTTTTTTTAGAAAATCCTGATAAATTATTATTTTTTTATTTTTTTTACACCTGTTATCCTCAAAAATTAAATTTTGTCCTGCTTCTATTAAAAAAAAACAAAAAACAGTAGGACTTGCAGAATTTAAATCCTCAATTTCAATTACTCTTTCTTTATCCAATTTCAAGAATCTCATTTGAATTGTAAAATAAAAAAAAGTGAATAACATTATTATTTAATTAGAAAAGCTTTTAATTAGTTTTTATGAATTATGGACACTATTATTATCGTAGGAAAAAGAAATTTTTCAATGAATAATTTTTTTACAAAAATTGTTTTCATTATCTTAAAATTTTAAAAATGTAATGCTTACTTTTTGCTTAAAACAATGAAAATAACACATATTTACACACAGTAGCCTGTGATGTCATAGTTCAAAAACAGTCTACTTTCTACTGTATTCTCTGACATAAAAAGCATCTGAGAAATTAACCAAAAAAAAAAAATATATTTAGAACACCAGTAATGCAATAATGAAGAAATTGATATTCATGTTTAATAAATTATCTTTAACCTTATAACCAATAATTTTTTTTATTCTATATGCTTTTATAAAGAATTAATAATTTTATTTTTGATACTACATCAGAAACATTTTTTAGTTAAATGATACTTTTGAATATTCATTGTTTTTATTTTTGATTATTTTCTAATCTGTTTGACATAGTTAAATAGTTAATTGCTGCCAATGTGGTCTTTTTTAAGAGTTGTTAAATTAGTAATTACTCAGTAATCAGTGCAAAGTGGTAATTCGGAATTATTTTCTTTTTGTATACACAAGCAAAAAACAATCTAACCATTACTAAAATGAAAACCCAATTAGAAATCCTTTTAAAATAGGTTCACACTTGAAAGGGGCTTTACATTTTTTGATTCTTGTTACAAACAGAAATTGGATGCTTTCCAAAATTCCACAGAGAAATTTATCAGTAATTTTTTAACATATATAGAGATTTTTTCCTGTCCAATCTCAAAGAAATTTTTTTTTTTAATGCAAGCACCAACTTTCAAAAAGATTATTTTTGAGTTTTATTGAAAAGATTTTGGATGAATTTTTACTGTGTTCACATGATATTGCATAAATCTTTTACTGGAATAACATATTCAGGGATTTTTCTTTATATAACTGTAAAAAAAACCGTTTTGAATATATAAGCAAGAAATTGGAAGAGAGTTCCGTAGGCGAGAAAAGAAGGTATTAGAATAAGACTTATGGTTACATCTAGTCATTTTAACTGTAAAACGGTAAGAACTAGTTGCCAGTTTAGTAGTATTTTAAATTCATGCAGTTGAGGTGCCAAGGTAGGGAGCTTATGAGAACAATTGACATGAAAATGCCTTATAGAAAAGGCAGAGGGAAAGCCACATCATGGCAGTGGGAAAGTGACTGAAGTTGAGATGTCGGGTCAAAATTTGAATTTTGTCAAGAATCTCAAGATTAGCAGGACCACCAGACCAGATATGGCTGCAATATTAAATGTACAGATAAATGGTAAATTTATAAATGTTCAAAATGAATTCTGACAAAAAAAATTAGCATGACACAGTGAACCAATTTTTCTAGCAGTACAGCTAGCAAGTGATTCACTGTACTTCATGTCAGTGAAAAACGTGAGCCCAAAAAGGTGCAAAGTGTTACTTTCTTGGGTGTTGGCATCGACCATGCTGATGAATGCCAGAAAATGTTCTCTATGGTGATTAAATGAAAGCAGTTTTGTTTTGAAAGTGTTAAAATTTACAAGCCATTCCTCACCTCAGTTAACCACTGAATGGAGGTCATTTTCGAGATTAGCTACTAGTTTTACTTTGGCCATATCAGTCTTGCTACTAAGACATGAGTAAATAGCTGCACCATCCAACTTGGAACTGATGACATCAGGAAGGTCATTGATAGGGATAAAAAACAACATAGGTCCAAGGATAGAGTCCCCATAGCCAACATTAATATGAAATGATCTGGAAGTGTGTCTATTAGACACAACCTTCATTATATGATTTGTTAAGAATGAAAGTTAATTATAGAGAATAAAATCAACCACCTTGTTTTCCTTGTTGCCGTCTGTTCAAAGGTAAAGTCATGTATGCATTTGCCAACACAGTTTCTCAAGGCATAACTTACTTTGTGATTTCCAATAAATACAAAACCAATATTAAGTTGATGTAAACACCCAGCTCATTATCTGTATCTACTAATCTTTAGCTTAGTCTGACAAAATATCAAGTGAAGCACCATGAAGAATTGAACTCCCCAGTCCTCGTCTACTAAGGTAGATTTTTAATTATTGCACTACAATGAAACATTCCATATCAGTGTAAGTCAGATGTCCAATGAACAAGACATTCTCCAGAGACTGTGCCTTTATTTATCTTTTCTTTAAGTTTATTGTCATTGCAAAGCGCTCAAGAAAATAGGCATATTTAAAAATTCCAATTAAAACCTGAAACATGGCGAGTAATAATGAAAACTGTAATTTAAAAAAAAAAAACTCTCAGACACACCTGTAAAACAAAAAACTTTTAAAGGAATATATTGCTTTTTTGTCACGTCGAAGGAATTAAAGGGACATAACCTCCGCTATTCTTTACCATATAAATGCTCTTTCTTGCATTGAAATGTTTGTTTTTTTTTTTCCAGGCCAGAAATTATGTCGGTTGAGTGAAGAGAATTGCAATGGAAATGGTACTTATGTACGCAATGGTTATGTCTATTCCAGTTTGGCTGGTTATTTGTGTACACAAACTGTCAACGATAAAGTAAGTTCTGCAACTGAAAATGAAATATTCAATTCTAAGCCTTCATTATTTTTTATCTCTTTTAGTCTATCTGCTGCTAAGGGCATTTTGCAAATGACTAATTTTTATGCTTGAGTCATTTTATATGTGGCTGTGGTGGGGAATGAAACTTTGATAAATATTTCTAAAGAGCCGACCTGTTTTCTTGCCTTCATTTGTGAGTAATGACAAATTTACATATTGATATGATGGAAAGATAATGAATATTTTTAACTTTCATTTTTTTGTATAGAATAGATAGAAATGTAAAATGTCATAATTTTTATTTCTTTTCATTAATTGTCAAGAAAACAGGGAAACTATTTCCAAACATGTATGGGTCAGTTTTTGATTTTTATTCAAGAAATTTAGCAAAATGCTGCAGTTATGTAGAATATTTTTCCTCAAATTCTAAAAGAATCTTTAGAAATTATTCTGAAACCCTAAAAATGTTCACATTATTACAAACCTTGCACTGGACTTTCATGACTTTTACCCAAAAAGATTCTACATTTTGATTTTGCTCAATTAGGATGAAATATTTTTCATAAGGAAACATTTTTTTTTGTAACTGATGAATGTTTTTTTTCATTCATGGATGAATTTATTTTTCAGCTTTCTTTGACAAATTTCCTCTTAAAAGCAAAGCTTATACAGAAACATGATTATCATCCTCTTTTGCCATTCTTAATAATTCCATATTTTTTTGTATTGGATAATTTTTCCAGGAGAAAAAAATAAAACTGCTTTTGTTGAAATGCAAATTTATTTTTAAAATCAAGGAAAAAAAGTCTAAAAGTGAAATGTCATGATTTCAATCTTTGTTTTTATTTTCTATATCTCTATTTTATTTATTTATTTTAGGTCTTGGTTGAAGTTCGAAGTGCCAAAGATCAAAATATTGTCCCATCTGTGGGAGCCATTGTTACAGCTAAGGTATGCAGTATCTTCATATCAAATGACAACTTGAACATTGCTCTAGCATTAAACAACTCTGATAAAAATTTTTAAAAGTCATTATACACATCACAAAAGTGTAATTGAATAATTTATAAATAGCAATTTCTGTATCTATTTGTGTTTGTGTGTCAGTATTTAATTCTAAGAGTTAAAAATTCTACCCAATAGTTTGTGATGAAATTTTAGATTTAAAATAATGAAAATTAATTCTTAAAACTTGTTCTTATCCAGTGGTCTCTTTTTATTTTTCTGCACTTATAGATTTGAAGAAATTGAATCTAAAGATTGTTTATTTGGTGATCTGAGGTAGATTATTAACTGAAAATGATGAACTAATGTTTGTGTTTCTGCTAATCTCTAACCATCTTGATGTTAAGTACCACCATTGTCACCTTCTTATCAGAATTTCTGACTCTGTCATTTATTGTTTCAAGCAAATGTTTCTGGCGCATTGTATCAAGTGCATTAAAACTGAATTTAGATTTAACAAAAAAAAAAAAAATCAAAGAACATATTAACCTAGAATCTCTGTCTGTCTCTCTCTGTATATATATATATATATATATGTGTGAGAGATAGAGAGAGAGACACTATATGATAGCACTTTTAAAAACTACAAAAAGCTTTAGCAATTAAATGTTTTAGTTTATAATCATAAATTAAAAAGAAAATTTTTACAAAAATTAAAACAAATTATAATTATTACAATTCCCTAGAACTTCGTATTAACACAAATTCATTTGGCATTGAAGAATATAAATTCAAAGTAGTTTTCAATATTTGCCCACTTAGTCTTTGTGATTTCACAAAACTGATCAATAATCTCTGAAAATTTATCTGGTACTTTCTCTTTAATATATTCTAAAAATTTCCAATAATATTAAAATCTGGAAACTGGCTTGGGCAAATTTCAAAATGTATAACTCTTTCTCTGAAATAATTTAAATTCAAAGTTGATAGATTACACACCACTCTGTTGAAAACTTTGGGATTATGTCTTCAGCTATATTTTTTATTGTCTTATTTTAATCTATTATGTCATAAAATGATTTCACTTTTTCCTTCTTCTTTGAATTGCTCTCCTAGGTGTAATTGTTGCCGAACATTTCAATTTTTGTTAACTCATGAATTAAGAGTCTTCTCACATTTCAATTTGACAGTTGTCTAATAAAATAATCATTTTCAAGTCTAAAGCTATCAATTCTTCACTATCAATTCACCACATTTTTGTATTTCATTTGTTTTACCATCAATTTCAGTCTTTTGAAACTAAAATTTGACCAAATAAGTTATGGGCAATTTTTGATAGGATCTACACACATAACATTTATCAAATTCTTGTCATTTCTAATTATCCGTTTTTTTCTTTCATTTTGTTGAGACGTTTTTGAGGTTACAACCAGAATTTTGTCTATCTGAAAAAAAAATTTACACTTAGAATACCATTTATAAATTTGTTCCTTAAAGGTGGAGATATTCCTAAGGACAAGGTAATTTATATTTAGGATTTGCTCTTCTCATAAAGAAGAATGATTTTCTTTTACATTTTTCAATTGAACACATGAAAAAATACTTGGACTATTACTAAAAGGGTTTTTCACCTGAGCTCATCAAAGAAATTGATGTTATTCTTGAAAAGATTGACAAATATCACACACACTGAATTCATAGTTGAGTAAACATTTCATGTGTCAGAAAAAAATTAATCTATGTTCCTTAAGGATCTCAGGAAATTATTAAATATTCCTATGAAATTTTCCACAACCTGCAGCTTCAAATTATCCAGTGGGTAGGCCATCAAAATTGAAAACAGACTTATTGCCTCTATTTACCTGGTTGTAAAATCTTGTTATTCTTCTTTAATGGCAGGATTATTAATTTGAAACAAATTCTGTTTTTATAACACTTAAAAAAAAAAAAAAAATAAGACAAAAAAAAAAACTTTACTCTTTTGACTCGCACTCTTTCAAGTATTGTTTGTTGAAGTTGACTGTGGCACACACACACACACACACACAATTAATGAGATGTAAAAAACACCAACAGATGATTCAGACAACCTTTGACTTTCAAATCAAAAACCTGATGGTGAATCAATGTTAACACAATCATTGAATGACCGATATGTTTGGGAGATAAGTTCAATCAAATTACCAGAACTTCTTTAGATTCTTTGTTGGAAGCACAACAAATAAAGTCTTTAAAGTGAAGTGTTTCATTTATTCCAATGCTACTCCCTATCCCTATTTATAAATGCAAAAAACTTTAAAACACATTTCATAAAATTTTAAAGATTTTTCAATTTTTTGGGTACTCCTGTTGTGTTTTGAAAATTGAGATTAATACAGGAATTGATTTCAACAGCAAATCTTGTTTCTTGTGTTCAAAGAAGATTCATTCTTCAAATGAACCAACTAAATTGTTTTGTTTTACAGAATTGGAAATTCCTAAATATCAAATCTACACAGTGTCCTGATGAAAATCTCCATCAAATTTTCTTATGAACCAGAGTGTTTATTTTGAAAATATACAACCAAAAATGACTACCTCTGCCCCATAATGAATGATACATTTCTACACAAATATGGAACAGAGGTAGCTTTTTCTATAAACTCTGAATTATTATTTATTTATTTTTTTTTTTTTTTTTTTTTTTTAGAGTTTTTGTAAATTTACAGTAATAGTTTGCCAGTCGCTTTCTGTTGACGCAAATTTAAGTATCTTTTTGAGGTGGTGTGTGATGCCTTGTTTGAGCAGATAATTGTTGTTTCACTTCAATCAACATCAAATGCTTTTGATTCATCAACATTATTACTTATAACCATATTTCTGTTGAGGGTAAAACTAAATAGAAAATCTCTGGAAATAATAGATGAGTATATTGTTTTGGCAAGAAATATTGCTTGTAAAATAGGGAGATTTTGGTGTTAACAAGTTTAGTCAAACATCTACCAGACATGATTGTTTAATGTTGAATCCTGTGGGGAAACAAAGATTTTGATGGATGACCTTGAAGCAATACGAATAATGAAAAATGTTTGTGCTGTACGGCAATATCCGTCTGTCAAGACCAATGATGCTTTATAAAGTTTGCAAAAGGGAATAGATCTGAAAGATTAATTTTGAAATATCAACCATTTAAGATAATGTTCTTTAGAAGGGATTTGTTTCAAAGTAGCAAAGATTGAGCCTAAAACACACAATGCATCCTCTTTAACAATCCATGAACATATCCAATGAAATGATTGCAATATATTATCAGAAATGTTTATTTCAAATCGATTCTCACACTAAAATTAAGACTTCGTCTTTATTATGTGTTTGTTGGAACATGGTAGATACACATTACTGTACATTTTTCTTGTCAATAATTTGGGATTTTATCAGTGATGGATTTACACATTGGAAAAGAGAAAACTATGTTATCCTTTTGTGTCAAGATGTTTTGTCATCTTTCATTCTTCTCTGCACAGATTATCATTTGTTGCTGTCGATAAAACATTTTCTTTGTGTTTGAACATTCAGAAACATACATTAAAATCTGAGAATTTATATTGGCAGGGGAAAATCTCTTAAGGTTGCAAGAAAAAATGATGCCATCATTTCTAGTTGCATCTCCTTTCATTTATCCTCCCCCCCACACTCACACACAATTTTATTTGTTTGTTTATTTGATCAACAAAATATTTAACATTTTTTGAATTTCCATAAAATATCTATCAAATTTACTCTTTATATGCTTTATTTCAGATAAAGAGACCACTCTCTCTCTCGTTTAATATATATATATATATATATATATATATATAAATCATGACTTGGCTTTGCAAAACAAAGATCAAGAGGGAGTCTGTTCCTGTCAATATTATATATATCTTTTTATAAAATCCATACTTAAAGAATCTAAAAATGTCTATCTAATACTACCACCACAACAAATGGTGTTATGTATGGACAACTGCCATACATAAATAAAAATGCCTACTAGATACATGCATACAAAGCACCCAAATCCTGCATAGACAATCTAGAATCAGGATACACTTACACACATAAATATACACTTGAACACTACTTTACAAGACAAAATGCATGTGAAGTCTGCTTAACCAATGAAAAAAAAACAAACAATACCAAAATGTTTCTTTCCTTTTTTCTCTCTATATCTCAATCTCCAATGAAATTTAGATAAAAGTGAAACGTGTTAGATTTATAAACATTTTCTATTTACTCCTTATTCTATCATTGTCAAATTCTAAGCTATATTTGATCCCAATTAATTCATATATATTTATATATATATATATACCCTTTGATATAAATAAAATTTAAATTTGAACAAGCGAATGACTCCTATCCAAAATATAGAAGAAAGCCAGAAAATGGAGGTCACATAAGCAAGATCATTGAGTAATATTGAAATGCATCATTTTTCTCCATAAATTATAACCATGATTTAAAATGAATCATCATTTTCTTACAAAAATAATGCATGACATGCAGCTGGTAAAAAATATATGTGTGTGTGTGTGTATATATATATATATATATATATATATATATATATATATATATATATATATATATGTGTGTGTGTGAAAAGAGAGACTCACACACATTCGTTTATAAAATTCTTTGGCCTAATGCTTAAATTAAAAAAAAATCTGATATCTGGTCATTTCACCAGATTTTGAGAACTTTTAGGTACTCTCTTATAAACACACACAAAGAAGTAAAGACTCCATAAGTGACAAAAAAAAAGTACAAATTGTTATTTAATGGCTGCAATGACTGAATTACACATTCAGAGTAAATTTGGAATGCCGTCATCTACTCTTTCCGGCTGAGTTCACATTAAGTTTCTAGTGCCTTTTATGATTTAACCAATTAATTAAAAGTTTACACCATTGAAGTAAAAATTTTTCTTTTTATTAATGAAAATATCACGAGGGCATATTTGGAAAAGTAAAAAAACATCTACCAGAGTAATGCACAAGAAATGATTGGGCGGCTATCAAGGATGTATAGTTATATTGGCAAATTGACTTTGGCATACCAAGCTAAACCTGGATTATCACCAACAGAAGAGAAGAAATTTTTAAGAGTTTCCAAGATTGTACAATGTCCATATTTACATCAGTCTGGCATTCCACACTGACAAGGAGCCAACAAAAAATCTGGGACACCATGTGAGTTAATCGTAATGATGCCTGAAATTCTGTCTGACTTAAGACCCATTATCTGATGGAAGTCTTTGTTGGAGATGTACTCACATTTCGTCCAGCTCAAAAATTTGGGGACTACTTGCAAGCGATGGGTACTGTAAACAATCTCTCCCACACAATCTGAAATATGTTTTGACTTTAAATAATCCACTACGTGTTGATAAGCCATAAAACAAAAAACAAATCTATCAATCTATCCTATTTCTGTTCATTAAAAAGAGAACAGGAGGAGGCACAGTGGAGTAATGGATACCAGCTATGATTGAGGAGTTGGAGAGCCGAGTTTGAATTCCTGTCAAATCCATTACATTCACTTATGTGCTAATAATACCCTTGGGAAGGGTATGACTCCTCTTCTTCTCCCCCAGCTATGGTTAAATAGCAGGATAGATCGTGTTCTATAGCCTTGGATGGCAACTGGTCAACCGCTGAAAGTAATGGCAACCTATTGCAGGAAAACATCTGCCCCGTCAGTCAAGTATCGAAAAATACATGATCGCCTAAGCGTGTATCACGCATGGCATATAACTTTGACTGAAGAGAACTAAACAGAGAATGTTTGAATTTAATGAGAATTTTAGTAAACTTTTCTCTTCATATTTTTGTCAACAAAAACCTCAACGAGAAAAAAAAGGACGTTTTTAACTGCAGTGCCTGAAATTATTTTTCTTTGTATTTTCAGATCACAAATGTGAATCCGAGATTTTGCAAATGTTTAATCCAAAATGTTGGCCAAACACAATTACGAGAACCTTTTCGTGGGATGATCAGGTAAATGGCGTTTCGTGTTTATTTTAATGGAAAAGTAAGGAATTGTCTCCCTTGAATCGTGATACCGAAATCCCGAAATTTTGTTTTTTGTTTGCTTTTTTTCAATTGGTTCACTTAAGTTTTTTTTTATTGAACATTTTTCATCTGCTCTAAGTATGATGATTGGGGATGAGTGCCAGATGAGAGACTTTTACCTTCAAAAGTAAAGCATTTCATTTGAAGGAGATTTTATTATTAAGCAATAAGACTTTTCTTTTTTTTAACAGATGTTTGTAGAAAAAAGTATTTTAAAAGATTCTGTGAAAAAGATTAATCAGGAAAAATAGAAGTGGTGATGATTTTCACAAAACTTGGGGAATAGAAAAAAATTCCCTCATTTAATATGACAATTGTATTTATTTTTTTCATTTTCAGGAAAGAAGATGTTCGTGCAACAGAAAAGGACAAGGCAAGTTATTTTTGCAGAAATCAGAATTCCTTGTTTTTTGTTTTTTTTTTTTATTTATTTAATTTTGCAAGTGCAACAAAAAAGAAAATATTAGGTCAGAGACTAAAAATGGCTGCTAATTCTGGCTCATATTGAATGCAATATTAACAGAGAAATGTAGAAACTTGCACAAATGTATATGAATGATCAGCTTAGCAAATGTTTTATTCCTTTCCTACTTTTCCTACCCATCCTTTATTTTCCCACCATCGTTACCCACTACTCATGTGGGACATTAATTCAGTTTATATCACATAGCCCTGCTCCAACCTGATCTAAGATCACTGATAAAATTACAAATTAACAAAAAAATAAGAAAATAAATAATCTTTCTTATTTACATCTCTCCTCTTGACCGAAGAAATTTTCTTTATTCTGTTTGATAATTGCTCATCCATGTGAGCAAATGTTGCTCCCTTTGTGACTAGTGGACTACCACTGTAGGACTTTTATCATTCTCCTTTTGCCCGTTGAAACTAACAACCTTGCATAGGTCCAGGAAATATTATTTCTGGAATGAATGTCCATTACTCTTTTTTTCTCCTACTGAGTTCTGTAATGTACATCTGGGGGCTTCACCCAAATTTCTTCCCTAATTTTTTTAGACCCCAGCCTCTCACTATCTCTAATTACTGTCAGCATTACCATGCTTGGATATGTGTGTGTGTGTGTGTGTATACCAGTGATGACTCTGGGGTCAGGCTTGTTGGGCTTAACCTGAGTGTATCTATTTTAAAGCAACAAATATTTTTTGTAGTGTGTTGTTTTCATTCTTGACTTCAGCTGGATTTAAAATTGTTTTAACTCTGTGCCTCAAAATATTGACTGAAATACATTTCATTGATATTTTTCAAAATAAAGGCGAAAGAAAAAGAAAGTTAAAAAAAAAAAAAAATGAAATAAAATTAACATGACTAGTAGGGCTGAGTCAGTCTGAGCCTGATCAAAGCTTGAGACATACTTAATAGGCAATGTATTTCTTGCTTTAATTTTATAAATCTTTTTAAAAAAATTTAATAGCTTGTATGCCCTGTTTTTCAAGCACCTTTTTATTTCAACTTATTGTTTTCAAATATCCATTTTAAATAATTTCTTCTGTACAGTATAAGTTTTTTTAGCAGAATGTATCTTTTGAGAAAGAGCAAATTAAATTTAGCAAAAATCAAAATAGCAGCCTTAACTTGTCAATTGTATATTTTGTTAAAGATTGTAATGAGCCCAACAAACATTGATGACCCAGAGTTGCCACTGATATAAGTGGCCACTGATGTCAGCACCTAGTGGTGACAATCTGTTTTATTCTTGAATGTAATCTTCAAGCCATAAAGATTGCATTCAAGCATGAAACATGCTGCTGATCTCAGTGTCCACTTGAATATTTTATATATATATATATATATATATATATATTTACAAATGCCCAATCTCTGATATTGAGCACATATTTATACATATAGCATACCTTAAAACTATATCATACATATATATCTGGATGCTGTGCTTTCAAGCACTGATTGCTCTGCCTGTCCCAATTTAGGTGACACATTGTACCAGAATCTTGCCTCAACAGGCAAAATATTCCCTTTTTCTGCCATGTCCATCAAGTTTGATCACCTCTCTACACAATTCTATTTTACCACTTTTTGTATATAACCCTAAAAAATCATTTAATATTCTTCTTTTCAAACATTGACAATACAGAATGATAGATATTTCCATTATCTATTGACACCTTAGCCAGTGGACCTCCGTCTCTCTCAAAATACCCTTTTCAACACCTCTGCAGTACCAGTTCATGTTTCCACCTTCATATCCTTCAATATAGCCACACCTCCACATTCACAGTTGATCATTGAGATATACAATCTCTCTTGGTAATGAGTCACATCAGCAACCCATCTCTTCCAGTTGTCCCTCATTTCTCCCTTCTCATGCACAGCAATTACAACTCTAGCACTTGTTTAACAACCTTTTCTGTAAGATAAGGGTCAACTATTTCGGGCCAGAAATTGTCATTCTCACCCCTTCTCATGATACTTTTTTTTTTTCTTTAATCATTTCACCCCCAAGCAAGGCAATAAAGCCACTAAAACAAGGGGTTACTGAGTATGAGAGAATATGAGGAGAAAGAAAAATATTAAGAGAGTTCCGTAGGTGAGAAAAGAAACTGTTATCAAAAAACCTATGATTACATCTATAGCTAATTCAATTGTAAAATGATGTGACCCTACTGCCAATCTGGTACTGTGCTTAAATTCATCAAGTCTACGTACCATAGTGAAGAGCTCATCAGGGCAATTACAATTTATAGAAAAGGCACAGGGAACCTACATTATGGTGATGGCAAAGGGACTGAAGCCAAGATGTCAGGTTAGGACCAATGTCATTGTATATTCTGCTTTGTATTTTATCAAGAATCTCTAAATCTATAACAGGAGTGCCAAACCATGTGTGGCAGCAATATTCTAGGCATTGATGAATGGTAGACATAAATATGTAAGAGAGATTCTGGAGAGAAATTGTCTTGCATGATACAGTGAAGCAACTTTCCTAACAGCAGACCAAAGAGTTGATGCAATATAATCTTTCTGATTCCTGTCAGCAGAAAACATTAGCCTGAAAAGGTGCAAAAAGTCACTTTTCTAGAAGTTAGCATCAGCCATGTTGATGGAAGCTTCTTTAAGATCAGTAATAGAGGAGTTTTGTTTTGGAGGCTTTAAAATTAACAAGCCATTCTTTGCTCCCGTTAACAACAGATTTTAAGTCATTTTTGAGATCAATTTAACCTTATCAAACCAATCAGACTTACTATTAAGAAAGGAGTAAATAGGTGTTATCAGCATAGATACTGAGTTGAAAGCTGAAGCCTGTTATGCAATTCTTTCAAATCTAAATCAAGTGAATAGCATCATGCAGCCATTCCTTTCTTACAATCCTCTGGCACCACCTACCAGTTTTTCCTCACTCAGCTATGTATTAATACTAAGTACAGATTATCTATGCAGGCCCTTTTGTTTTAACTTTTTTTTTTCATTGGTCATTAATGATTTCAGTCAACCAATCACAGTAGCTGAACTAATTCAAATTTCAATCTTAAGTCCCCACCTTAATGCCAAGTTTACTTCCTCCAGCATGGCACAGAATTCAGTAATATTAATGATTATAATCATCTTTTCTATTGTTTTTTTCCTCAGCCATGCTATGTCCACTATCTCTATGTCATTTATCTCTAAAACAATAGTCATTGCCCTCTTACTCTTCCATCCCCACTCCTTTATTGGAGCCTTCTTCACCTTAACTCTTAATATATCATCTTCTCTCCCTCCAACTCTATCATTTCAATTCACTCCCTCAGTTTTTTCCCCTGTTGCTGTGCATATTCCTCAGCTATCCAGTGATTGGCTGCCCTGTCAGCAAGGCTCCAAATACACCAGTTTTGGAGGCAAGGTCTTCGTTGCCAACACACACTTGTGCAGAACACCATGCGTAACAATGTGTGGTACGTTGACTTTGATCAGCACTCCAAAACCAGAGTTAAAACCCAACATGACTGGAGCTCCATCCGAGCAAACTGCAGAAACCATATTCCACGAAAGATCATTGTCTCTGAAGGTGTCATCCACAAGTTTTATCAGGTCAGCTGCCTTGGTTTTTGTAAGAGGCTTGCAAAATAAAAAAATATTTCTCATGTCGTCTTTCACATGGTGCCTGAATCCAACAAGCAGGCTTAGATTAGAAATGCTGGTAATCTTGTTGAGTTGGGGGCTTAATTTTGCTGGGTTTGAAATCAGATCTTCAAATACTTGGGACAAGATCTCATTGCTCATGTCATCTATTCTGCTGCTGATGGTGTCTTTTGAAAGAGAAATTTGGGTTAACTTATAACATGGCCAGCCTGGCTCAATCCAGGGTCCTACTCATGCTGGTTATCTGCTGATTGCTTCAGTTCTTCATCTGCCCTGCCCCATGTTCAGTTCTTTGCTCACAGAGCAGTGAAGATTGAATTTATATCTGTACTTAAGTGCTGAATTTAGTTATGGTGGAACTGTGCTATGAAAAGGACAAAGAATTCTTCCACTGGTAAAAATACAAATATCATAACAAATAAGGTTGCTGGGTTAATTTTCAGTTGGTGTATATAGTCATTGATACAACAAAATTAGCCCTTCCCGTTAAACTCTCTATTGTGACACTCTGTTTCTTGCTTCTTAAACTTGGAGCAGGTTAAAACATACACAAGAAATTAGGTCAGGAATTCTCTCGGCAACAGGTCACATGGGGTTCACAGTTCCTCCTCCACTACTGTTATGTCTTGTCTGCATCTCTCGCTCCAACTAAGCATTTGGTTTATATGTATTTCACCTAACTCCAACCACACCTCCAAAACTCATTAATTATTCGCCAATTAATTATTTTCTCCAACTCTGGAGACATGACACTGATCCTCAAACAAAGCGGTCAGCTATTTCAAAACAATAATCCCTTTGACAATAAACTTTGTTTTAACATTCCTTTCGACAATTGGCTGTTTACCTAAACAATAGTTTTTTCATTAAGAAACTTTTGTGTTTAAAAATTATGATCTATGTCCCTTGATGTAATAAAATTTCATTTTGTTTTCTGACTTTTTTAAAATGACCAATTTTAAATCCCATTGTTTACATTTTGGCTTTACTCAAACTCGCTTCCCAGCCAACAATGATCTTCAAATAAAAAGCGGTCAACTATTCAAAATGATGATTTTTCCTGATAACAACTTTTTATGTTTTTGAAATTTTCCTTGTTTGACAACTTTTCAAGATATGTTCCAAATAATTCTCTGCATATTCCAGGGTGTTTACATTCCCAGCCTGGCAAATCTGTTTCAGCTTACATTTTACACTTCTCAAATGTCAGATTGCTTACATCATTGGCCTGGTTATCAAAAAGAAAAGAAAAAAAAACTTAATTCCCCCACTTCA